GAAAAGGTCAGCTTTTGATTATGGCCTATCTTTGGGATTTGGAAAAATACTACCAAAACTATAAAGCCATCAGAAGGCATGAGATAACTTCAGAATTTTCTTAAAAATAAGAACACTACTGAAAATTTCTATAATTTTGAATGATGCTGTTCATCCCCCAACAAATCTTCTATTCACATTCAACTTTTGAAGCACATACAGTGAAGAGTTAATCATCAGCTACAGAGTTAATTGTGCTCATAAAACATAGTTCCACATACATATTGATATTATAACCAACACTGGTGAAATGAAACAGAAAATTAAAACAGTGATCTGGCACCAGAATTAAGTCAAGGGCACATGAGGGAAAGGATACAGGATACACATTTTAATGGAATGCTAAACTTTTGACATGAGATCTAATTTATAGAATTGCCTCCCTAGTAAATAATGGCATTTTTTTCTCCTCACAACTTGTAAACACATCTGCATATCTTATTACTCATTGCAGAATGGCAACTGGTGTGATTCATCACCTATGTTCAACAGTGAGAAAAGTTTAAGAGAAATTATTGACTAGATGGAGACACCGTGTTCTACAAAACTACTTACTATTGTTTACCTGAAATGAAAAATGTGGAGTTGGAGTTTAGTAAGGTTCATATAGGTGACAGGCTGTTGCCTTAAATGGATGATAAATAGAAGAAAGGCTCATCAGAACAGAGAGGCATTATAGGAAACCAGTGAAAGTTTCGTAAGGAAGGACAGACTTGGGGATATTGACAGATGAAAAACTGACTATGAGCCAGCAATGTTCGCTCACAAGCCAGAAAGCCAACCGTGTCCTGGGCTGCATCAAGAGAAGTGTGGCCAGCAGGCTGAGAGGTGATTCTCCCCCTCTGCTCCACTCTTGTGAGATCCCACCAGGAGTACTGTGTCCAGCTCTAGGGCCCCCAACATAACGAGGACATGGACCTGCTTGAGCAGGTCCAGAGGAGGCCACGAAGATCATCAGGAGGCTGGAGCACCTTCCTTGTGAGGACAGGCTGAGAGAGTTGGGGTTGCTCACCCTAGAGAAGAGAAGGCTCTGGGGAGGCCTTATAGCGGCCTTCCAGTACTTAAAATGGGGCTACAGGAAAGATGGGGAGGGACTCTTTATCGGGGAGTATAGTGATAGGACAAGGTGTAACAGTTTTACAAATTAAAGAGGGTAGATTTAGATTAGAAGTAAGGAAATTCCTCATTGTGAGGGTGGTGAAACATTGGAACAGGTTGCCCAGAGAAGCTGTGGCTGCCCCCTCCCTGGGAGTGTTCAAGACAATGTTGGATGGGGTTTTAAGCAACCTGGTCTCGTGAAAGGTGTCCTTGCCCATGGCAGGAGGGTTGGAACTAGATGATCCTTAAGGTCCCTTCCAACCCAAAACATTTGTTGAAGTCTACCAAGTCTTTACAGTCAGAACAACTCATATCCTGTATCAAAAAAAACCCCAAACCAATCCACCATTTAAGCCAATATATTCACATTTGTATTCTTTAACTCACGTTCTATTTAAGCACTTAAAAGAAAACATTTTATTTAAAGACAGTGAATGTGGGGGTTTTTTGTTGATCAGCATTTCTGAAGTAGTCATTTTCACTAGAAGAATGTGAATTTACAAATCTGAGTTCAGACATTCAGTTTTTCAGATTCTGAATATAATGTCTGGGACCATGATTAATGAACAGAAGTTAACTACTCATGAAAGGTTAATTATCTACCAAAAAAGTTGAAATGAAACTGGCTCCAATGAAAACATTAATTGGAAGTTCTATATGTGAAAGTTTTATGCTAGATTTTCAAGGAAGAAATTCTAAAACCATTGTTCATGCTTTCATAGCTAAACATTTCATCGAATCAAAGAATGATTCAGGTTGGAAGGGACGTTGGAAGACCAAAGAGTGTAAACTCCTGCTTAATGCAGAATTAGCTGTAAGATCACACATCTTTCCTTCCATATAATGCACAGGTCTGCAATGGTCATCTTTGACTCCATGTTCTTACTGGACAGCCTGCTACAGCACCTGCTACCTGTAAAACAACTTGAAGCTGGAAGGAAATTTCAACTAGCATACAATGAAGCTGCAATAGTTTCTCTAAAAGTGATTTGATAAGACCACATTATGCAGCCTTTTCCATTGTTCATAGGAGCTGCTCTTAATTTAGAGGTGAAATTTAAAGCTTTGTATGCTAATTACAAAACCAAAACAGCTCAGGCTCCTGATCACTTTATGAAAATTGTACTCTGTTCACCTGAGTTACAATAGTGTCTGAAATAGCTGGTGTGACACTTCAAGTAATAGAGAAAAGTGAGGTTAGATGCTCATAGCAGTTTCTAGGAACCAAAAGTGTACTGGAGTCAGTTGGTTATTGTCAAATGATACCTACAAGCAGTAGATGGCTGACATCTATGAAGAGATTATTTATGTTATGTAGAGATAAAAGATGCAAACGTCTGTCAATTAAACATCTATCAGAACTGCTTGGAGGGGAGAACTACCTGGTATTGTCATCTGGCAAGTGTCAGTTAAGCAGCCCAGGACAAAGAAATGACCACAGAGAAATGAGAGCTTCATGCTCATATAGATGTGGGTGGCATTGCAAGGCTTCAACAACAGGTATCACCATTTATGGGGGGAAAACTACCTTTGCTTTTTTGGTAGAAACAGCTAGAAAGCAAATAGAAATATCTTCAAAGGTCCTAATGAAGGTAAAATTGATTATTACAAATCAACTCTCAATCTCAAATGCTGTCCATTTCCTTCAATCTGCAACATATTTTGGCTACCAAAGTTCTTGGGTAATACTCCAAGACAGGATAAACCATGTAAAAATTTGTGTAAAAGAAGATGATCATTCATAAGGCTTATTTTTTGACAAGTTCAAAATTACTTGTATTATACATTACCCCAATCATTTTAATAAAATTGTGTCCTGTCTACTATTTGAAAAAAATAATAGCAACACTGGCCTTCTGGATCATGACCAACTATTATAAAATATTATACTTTTAATTTCTTAGAGGTATTATATCTCTCATTACGATACAGGATATTCTGACATTGGAGGATAGATTACATGACTGCAAGCTCTAAGAACTAAGCTAACAATTACACTTCTTGGTAAAAATAATGGATTTAAGATTTATTGAGTCAATATTTATAGTGTATGAATTTATCATGAATAGAAGTTGCTTCATTAAAAGAGAAGTTAATCCATTCATTGTGTTAAAAATGCTCTAACATATGCATATGCATATCTCAAATATTTGCAGTCATATTATTATGCACCTGTATGTATACAGGTAATATATTAAAATTCTATTATGTAGAGCCAGCCACTAAATAACAGTCTTATAAGTTACACACTTCACTAGCAGCAGCTCTATTCACTAATCCATCACTTCAGAATTTAATTCAGCATTCCAAACATGGAATTGTGTTTAAAAAATTGTGTTTACAAAAAAGAACGCAACAAAACCCAAACCCACCAACCAAAAAAAAAAAATTGGAAAAAACCCTCAACTACTTTACAAATAAGTTTTCTGGAGTACTGTAGACAAGTTCTATCAATTACATATACAAGACAGGAAATATTTAGGCATGTCACTAAACAGCTCTGTAATCTAGTTTCTCAGGATCTTACTGACTTACTAAAAAATTAGTTTCATTTCATTGAAAAGGGGAAAAACACTTTTCACTGTTATAGAGAACACTTATTTCCCATTGGGTTAAGAAGTATTAGCATAACGTTTAACATTTTACAAGCAGAAAAGCCATTCAAAATACAGATCGCATCAGCTTTTTCTCTCTACCTCTGGCATAATCATTTTCATGTCTAATAATTGAGAAACTAATCTTATAAAATTGGGGCTTTTCTTTCTAGTATTTTCTTATAAATTATCTAGAGTATCTTTTAAGTAAAAGTATTGCATATACAGAAAAACTAATATAGTATTAAATATTAGATATCATATAAAACGGCTTATGCATAGTTTCATCTATCTAAAGCAGATCGATTGTTCCAAACTCATCCTGTTCAAAGACATATTCATAGAAGAATTCTATGTATGTCACTATATACAAAGTAAAGTAATTGCATACAGTTACCAAATTATAAGATACTGAATCTTGCTAGTGTAGAAGGACAAAACAATCTTTTCCCATATAGGACAGGTGAAAAACTAAATTCTATCATATATATGATAGATAGACAAAACAAAATTTTACTAACGTTTACTCATTTCTTTCCTCAGCTTTTTCTTATTCAATACAATGGAAAATAATCTTCAATCCTGTATGACATATTTCACATTCTCCATACAGGGTAATTTTTGAAAAAAATAAAATTGTTCTTGAAAAAGATAATGAGCTGAAGAATCTGAAGACTACTACACCAATAATACCTTGAAAATATATTTTGCATTGCCCATAGATATTCAAAGAAGTCAGTGTAAAACAGGCAAAAAGATGCCAAAAATAACATAAACTGAAATTGTGGAAAACATCCCAAGTAAATGATCTTTGTATTTTCAAGTTCTTACAGGTAAGATTTCAAAGTATCTAATATAGGGTCAAAACCACCAATGAACATTTTGTTTTTATTTTAAATACATAAAAGTAGAAAACATTCAGTTATTCTGATTTTTTGTAATGCTAAAGATTTACAGAGAGGTTCATTGTCTAAGATTAAAATTCAGCGATCTTTAACTAAAACCTATAAGTGTATTATCAGCTTATACAGTAAAGAAACATTTATGAAAGAAACACATTAGTGTGGCATTGAAATTTATGAAACACTGTCTAAAAGAACTGCTGAGAAACATGGAACGTGTAAGTACAAGGAAAAACAGCACCAGCAAATTACTAGAGGGTAAAATAACATTTTCTTAAAGAACATGTTATGCTGACCCCTTGCAGCCTTAAAGTTTTAAGACTTCTAAAGAGCTGCTGTGACTCTCTATTCCCAACCAAAAACTCACTTGTTTGATGCGGTCTGGATTAACAGTGGTCTGAGGCTGTAGAATGCTGACAGGCTCTGTCTTGGCCACATTTTGAGGCATTTCTCGAATCTTCTCTGCAATGAAGCCATGAACTGCATTTAGTGCTTCAACTGTTCCCTGGATCAGACACACCCGCTCTGTAGTACCTGTAAATACCAGAAGTTGACTTGAATAAAGCAGATTCTTCAAGATCCCACAAATTGCTTCAATTATGGCATAAAGATGACACTCAAAAGCAACCTTGCAAAACCAACTATCAACATCTCCATAAAGATACAAATGAAAGCAGATGTTTTTAAAAGATAACATATTGATGAGCTGAATATAATTTAAACAACTCGTACTCGTGTAGGTCCTACAAACACATAACTTTCCAAGTCAATCGGAATATATAAAATAAAGAACAAAACTACTAGGTTTTGTTGGAAATGTTAGCAAATACAATAACTGGGTGCAGACTACATGTCCTTTAAATGATTTTCTAAAATACTGTATAAATTCTAGGTATCACAAGGTTGAACATAATAGGCAGCATTAGAGAGGCACTTGGAATAAGTTTTTATAACGAACACCTGAACTGCAAATACATTCATTTAGTGTAGGCATTATTAGATCATTTCTTAAAACAGCTGAAAGTCATTACAGCAAGACCTTTCAAGGCCAACTGATCTCATATATTTGAGTATCCACTTTGTCTTTTATAACCTTCCTAACTTACAACATACATACCTGCAATAATTGCAATTTACTGAATACATGCAGATTAAGCTGTCTTTAATGTGGTTTAGGAGTTGCAAACTATGAAAGCTTGTACGAAATAAGTAGTCAATACCCAAAAATTAAATTTCAAGAATTTCTGTTTAGAGTTACGCTGAATACTATTCGTGCAGGATATCCAGACTCCATGTGACCACCTTCTCAGCATCCATGTTCTAAGGTCATGGGAGAATACTATACACTTGTCAAATAGGTCTGACAGGTGAAATACATATTTATGTGTAGCAATACAAGGCCTTTGGTGGCAATAAAGCAGAGTAGGGGGCAGTTTACCACCATACACACTTGTAAAGATAGGACAGATACTTAAGAAAAAGAGGCCTTGAACATATTTCTCATTCCCAAACTCTACAGCAAAGTGTAACCTTCTGCTTCTTTTCATTTCACTTTTGCTGCGTTTTCAGTTCTAACCATTCTATTCTGCTCTGTATCATTTTGCTTAACTCTATTCTCCAGTACATTCTTTATCTTGTATTGGCTGTCACTCCCTCTCCCTTATATCACCATTATGCGCTCTCACTTTTAATTTCGCTGACTCTTATAATGACTTCCCTACCCCTGTAGCCTGGAGGAAGAAGTCTGATGTGTCATGTTTATCTCATCTTTTGTATACTACCTCACAGAATTTGTGATTCTATGCCAATTACAAACAAACATTAAATAACTACCGTAGCTTTAGTAATAATTCTCTAGAAAGGTTTAGACAAAGCCTACATTGCCACATAACACTTTTCCAAACTGAAATCATGCTGTTTCTGTTTCAAAAAACCACACCAGTGCTTACTGATTTGATTTCTTAACCAAAAAAAACCCCTACAAGATGGCCAAAGATGAATGCAGAACTGTTGAAAAACACTTCATTTATTTTTTTTGCCACTAGCGTGGTTTTAGATGATTTTGCATGGCTTTACTGTATGCCAAAAGAAGCTTTTTTAACATCTTGGGTTACTGCTTGATACATCTTCATTAGACAAATAATATAAAAACCCCCAGTACGATCCTAAGGATACAAATATGAAGCTGCACTGAAATAACCCACATATCAAACCACTTAAATAGGTTCCACAAAACCAGTTTTGACTTGAAAAAAATATAATCTAACAGGAACTGGGATAAAAAAAATACACTTAAAAGGGAGCATTGTAATTTCCACTTTGTTCTGCAGAAATACCAAACCAACAAAACTCCACATCCAAGTAAAACTGCTTTGAAATTTCATGTAGTGCATACTTCTATAAACACATTCTGTACATTTCTAACATACTCAAATTAATGAATTTCCATCGGTATGTTTTTAGCTTCAAATACCAGTAGAACAGCTGTAACAGATGAAAATGAAAATGTGAACTATCACGATATTAGTGTATTCCTGAAACCATAATACTGACATGCAAAGATATGCCAGATACATTATTCAATGCCAATGCATATTTTGCTTCAAGATTACAGGGGGGGAAACAAAATAACAAATTTGATCTATGGAATTACCACAAAAGTAAATATTGATGTATTCCTACTAAATATTATTGACATGATCACACATGAATCTTTTCTGCTGAAAAATTCATTCACTTTACCTAAATAAATGAAAATTACAATATAATGGTATGGTAAGCACTAAAAAATGTGAAATTATTTCTGAAGTTCACACCATCTTAGTTGGCCTCATTACCATTGTACAATCTGCACAGAATCACAAGCAATACATTGATCAGAGGAATGTACCAGGGAGGTAAGTGAACTCCTCTTTAAAATTCCCTTCCTATCAATTTTATGTCTTCAGTAATATCTACTGTTATCAACTCATCTTAAGATATGCTCCATATAACACTACAACGTAGTTTTTAACAGAGAATAGTACAGTAACCCTAGTCATCTGCAAGAAAAAATTGCTTTTTAGTAGTAAATGCTTCTTATCTGGTTCTGTGGATGATCTCTGAAGATTAAATATCTCATTACCTAAAGATGAAACAACACACTAAGAGCCCTGCCTGCTCATTAACTTAACGTATTCATGTGCATCTAAAATCATTCGAAGATTTTTTTCCTATGAAACAGTATCAGGCAATGCTGAAATTCACCTTCATAGAAGAAGCTCTACGGAAAAAACGACAGAATGAGAAATAAACATTCTTTCTCTATTAAAATATGTTATTCAAAATAATTAAATTAGGATTAAAACATGTCAATCAGGACTTCAAAAGATGTCAGGTTAATAGTCCTTGAGAAAAAATATAAAGTTAAAATTATTACACTCTTAACAGCAAGTTATACAAGTATAATCAAATGCACATTTCTCAAGAGCAAGATATTTAGAACATTTATGTGACCTGTTATAGTGTCTTTGCAACAAATCAACTTAAAACTACAGCTAATCTTCTTTTTCCAAAACATTCCATCGAAAAAGGGAGTTTGAATGACATAAGTGGAAGTCACCACGGAAAATGAAACTTGGTTTCTAGATGAAGCTTTCTTAAATGCCTTTTTTTTTTTTTTTTTCTTTCCCCTTCTTGGCTTCTTCCCCCTTTTGCAAACAACTCCTGTGGTTTCTGTGTAAAGCAATCCAGCTCTAAGAAAATGCTCTGGGGAGTCTTTATGCCGCAGTATTAATTGTCTCCTAAATGATGAGATGTGATGTGGATTGATCAATGCAGCTAATGCAAGTGTTCTTTAGGTCAGCAGACAACACACTGAAACAAAACACAGATCAGGTTACGTCCAAGCTACTGGAGACTAATATGGAAAGCACTTCACAGGGATGACTACTGTCAAAACATTGGAAAGGAAAACAGTCAACGTTAAATAGGAATTTCATTAGACTTGACACGAAGTGACTAAAGGCTATTCTACAATCTGTGTTATTTTAGAAGTTGCAATATAATAAAAATATGCTTTATGTCACAGTGCGGAACAAACACACTACATTTCAGAATGTATAACCAGGATGTAGTAAATGGAAATCACTCTTTCATGAAGAAATACAATTGTGAAAAAGCACATTTCACATAGAGTAAGATACAATTTTAAAGTGCATCACAGTAGTAGCACATTTTCTTGGAGAAAAAAAAAAAAAAAAAGTAAAAACAAAAATTCTGGAGAAACTGTATACATGTGCAATTGGGAATTGCTTTAATTTTATGAAGTGATGTTGTTGTATTCCTTTGCACAACTCTAATAGCTTTTCACTCAGATAAAACAGCACAATAATTTACAGGAGTCACACAAAAAAGAAAACTGCCAGCTACATGACCAACCTGTAAAACAAAAATAAGCCTATGATTCACTAAAGTTGGTGAAATTTCTGTCATTTTACAAGCTTTTAGGCTCCATTAGTGTCTAAAGTAATCTGTCAGATTATTTATCATTTTCAGTTGTTTAACAGTTGCATCCAATCCTTTTTCCACATTTCTGTGAACAAAAGCTCAGCCATGTATATGTATACTTTTTGTCATATGATTTTCAAAATATATATTTAAAATACAGATCACATTTTTTAAATAGCTGACTTGGAGAAAGCAAAATTACAATCATTGCCCTTTTTTTTTTTTGGTGCAAACATAGCAGATATAAAATTTACAACTGAAATAAAAATTAGCATTGGGTATTGTATATTGTCTTTCCCATATGAAGAAATTAAACATATACAGGAAAAGAATAGTTCTGCCACAGAAAATGACCAAATGTAGAGTAGGTAGTCATCATTCCTGTACACTAAAAAAAGACAATTTTTGATGTATGTTCAATAACACTGAAGTCCATGACAGAAGTTTACATGTGGCTGCTGCTGCTGTTGCTACAATCATTTCATGTTTACTTTTTCTAAGGAACCCAAGTAAATTAGTCAGTATTTGTATGTGCTCTACTTTTCAGCAAGTAAAATGTGTTTCTTTCCTCTTATATCTGAATTAAAATTCAATTTGTAGATGTATGTTTCAACTATTTCTTATCAATAAAGAGGCATAATGTAATTGCACAGAAAAGCCTGCCTGTACTGCCCAATAAAAATAGATTTTTAAAACCAATGGAGAAAAAAAGAAATCTTAATTCAGTTTTTTGTTTGTTTAGCTATCAGGGGGAAATTTTTTGCAGTGAGTTTTTTTTAATGTGAAAACAGATACAGCATTATCTAAAATACTCTTTTTTCTCTTCAGTTCCATGGGGGAGGGGAAGATTAAATCATCAGCAGCCACCAGTAAATTCGAAGTAAGTAAAGAAAAACCTGTTCTGAAATCTAGTAAGTTAGATAGGTCTAAAATCTAAACAGCTTGCAATAACTTTATTTTAATAATTCATTTTTCCTTCCACCTCCTTTAACTACCTAAAACTTTACTTTGCCAACTACATGGCACTAATTTTGTCAAGAGCTTCA